TCCCCTGCATCGGCAGGTGGACTCTCAACCACTGCGCCACCAGGGAAGCCCCTGTTTTCTCTTTTTAAAATGACAGTTAGCCCTGTTGGTGCAGTACTTAGAAAGTAAACCATATCCTAGATTCACAGAAACGTAATCCGATGTGGTAGTTGAGTCTCTGCGGGCTCAGCCTCTGCTCAGCCTCCTGCTGGCCGTGAGTCTTCAGGCAGTGACATAGCCTGTATGAGGAGAGAAGTAATTATAGGTCCTTGTTCTGTAAGAGAAGAGAAATAATTATAGAATCCTCACCCCTGGACTGCTAGGGTCACCGGAGGAATGTGTGTAAAACGCTTAGCACAGTGCTTGGTGCACAAAATAAGTGCTCAGAAAGTGTTAGCTGCCACTACTGTTGTGGTTGTAGTTATTATTACAATTATTATTGATTTATTAAATTTCCATTTCTTGTTCATACAGGTTTCTTTTGAGGCTTTGGTGTAAACATTGCCTTTGAGGTTCTTTTTTCAAAAGGCAGCTCACTGTCGAGGTCACTTCCCTCAGCAGCTTTCTGACAGGCCCCAAGAGCCGTGCCGAAGAACACAGAAATATTTCATAGTGTGGGCTGGCTGCAGGCTTGTGTTTAGTTAGTAAGGATAACTGGACTGTTGTGCAACTATCTTCAGTGTTTTCAACCAATTTTAAATGTTGACGTGCTTGTCTCTTAGAAGCCGCCCCACTGAGGGAGCCACAGTCCCTGAGGAGAGCCCTGGGCACCCTCTTGGAGCAGTGGGGGTCCCTAACTCAGGCTAGGACAAGAGCTAGGTAGGCTTTTCTCTTTCAAAATAGCAGTGTGATGTGAGGCCTTAAGCTTTTTTTTTTTTTAATTAATTAGGCAACCAGTAACAAAGAACACATTTAGACATTACAGAGTTCTAGGAAAAGTCAGATTTGGAGAGGTAAGTAGTATGTGACCAGCTATGAGCAATACTTCTAGAAAAGTAGACAGCAAGGTAGCTGAAAAGCGTGATCTTCAGGTAATGTGTTGACTTTACCAATACATTCATTTCCTTACTGTGTGTTTTGGGGATTATTTTATTTTATTATTTATTTATTTATTACATCTTTATTGGAGTATAATTGCTTTACAATGGTGTGTTAGTTTC